TGTGTGTGTGTGTGTGAGTGTGTGAGTGTGTGTGTGTGTGTGTGATTGTAATTGTGAATTCCGTGTTTATATCTTTCAATTCTGAGTTTATATTTCTCCTAATCAGAAAAGTCTGAGTTGTGAGTTACAAAGTTGGAATGACATTTTATTTATTTATTTATAAACAAAAAAAACAGAAAGTCAGAATCACAAGATATGAAGTCACACTTTTTAATCCCATGGTGGAAATAAGCTTTCCCTACTTTACAGCTGAGATTGAAGTTGTTTCATAATTTTCCAGCACTGTTATTTTCTCGTTTATCTCTGTTTGGAATCAGTGTGTATTGTTTAAGTTCCAGTGTTGGGGAAAGTTACTTTTAAAAGTAATGCATTACAATATTGTGTTACTCCATAAAAATGTAACAAACTGCATTATTTAGTTACTTTTTATGGACAGTAATGCATTGTTATGTTTGCGTTACTTTTTGTCACCTGAACTGAATGTCCCAAAAGTTATAATTTTGGCAACTGTAAAGACCCTTTTACACCAAAAGTGAAATGAATAATCTTTATGCTTCTGCACCAGTTTCTCTCACCATGGCAACACCAGAGCTGTCACTCAATAAACGGGGAAACAAAGTAACTTGTATTATGCATTTGAAAAAGTAACTCAGATATGTTCTTGTAAATTAAAAAGTAATGCATGACTTTGCTAGTTACCTAGTAAGTAGTAATCTGATTACGTAACTCATGCTGCTTGTAATCAGTGTTGGGCGTAACGCATTACAAGTAACGTGAGTTATGTAATCAGATTACTTTTAAAAGTAACTAGTAAAGTAACGCATTACTTTTTAATTTAGAAGGAAATATCGGAGTTACTTTGTTTCCATGTGTTGAGTGACAGCTCTGGTGTTGCCGTGGTGAGTGTTGTGTGTGAACATGATCTTACTGTAGCTCTAGACTCAATATCAACATGTGTTTACTCATCTCACTGCACACAAACACATTCAGTGCTCCTCACAATCAATACAAACAGTTCAAACGCAAACTCAGAATATTATACAAACCTGCAATAATTAAATATGTTAAGACAAATATCATTTATGTATTTAATCCCATTTTATTAACCAATGTCTTTGTTACTGACCTTTGATGATCTATTTTAATCATTCTAATAAGCAAAAATGACACATTTGTGTTTTTCTTTAGTTATTGCTGAATAGTGTTGAACTTTCTTCTCTTCTGCGTCATATTCTTCATGCTGCGTCCTCTACTGTACAGACGTGAATTTACATTTCCTTCAGCCTGAGACGTATTCATTTCACTCTTGTTGTGAAAGTGCGTTTACATTTATAAAAGAAGAACTTTTTATATTAAAAACAAACAAGCAAGCCCTGGCCAGATTTACAAAGTAACTCAAAAGTAACATAACGCATTACTTCTCAATAAAAGTAACTAAGTAACGTAATTAGTTACTTTTTTAAGAAATAACGCAATATTGTAATGCTTTGCTTTTAAAAGTAACATTGCCAGCACTGCTTGTAATGCATTACCCCCAACACTGATAAGCAGTAGATTGTAGATGGAGTGTGAAGTGATCTGTGTACCGTGTGTTTTTCAGAACTGTGGTTATGGCACTAAAGATGACGATTACACCTGCATCTCCTGTCCGGCCGGGAAGTTCTCCAAAGGCAAATACGAGATCTGCCGTCGCCACAAAGACTGCGACTCGCTGTACCGCGCCACCGTCCTGACGCCGGGGACTCTGGAGAGCGACGCCGAGTGTGGACCGTGTTTACCGGGGTAAGAAAACACACACAAATCGTGTTTGTGTGACTGACCCAGACTAACCTAACCATCTCTAACCCGTAGCACTCCAACTACTCACAGTTTAGAGCTAGACTACAATGGTTTGTGTTAATGTTTCATTTTTCAAATAGGTAGTAAGTTAAAAGACATTATAATATTTGCAGATTCCTTGTTCTGAAACTGGTTGTTTGTCGTGTGATTTAATGCATTATACTTTCTAAAGGTGTAATAATGAATGTATAAGTATTATAATTTATTTTAACCATGGTTGCAATTATTCATGAGATCATTTGCTGCATTATAATATGCATTACAAGGCATTAATGACTCATTGCAATACTTTTATATTGCATTATATTTAAAGGCCTCAAGTAAAGTGGTAAACTATCACTGAATTATCACAAAATTTAAGTTCTGCATGCACACACACACACACACACACACGCGCTCACACGCGCACACGCGCACGCTCACACACACACACACACACACACACACGCGCTCGCACGCTCACGCTCACACACACACACACACACGCACGTTTACACACGCACACGCTCACACACACACACTCACACACACACACACACACACACACGCACGCACACACACGCACACACACACACACACACACACACACACACACACACGCACAC